CTCGCACCGCGGCTGCCGCGGCCGCCGCTGCCGCCATCGGTCCATACGCAGTGAGGGGGATTGCTGGAAAAGAAGAGACAGGCATCTCAGGGGCTCTGTGCCTACGTGGGAAACTCGACAGGATCTTTCATTTCCTGCTGCAAAATTCTGGGCCTACACAGGAGTATCGGCTCAGTGCAACACACAGGACATCCAAGGGTGACAACAGGGGAGTGCACAGCTCTGCACTGATTGGTGTCCCTTTGCACAGCAGATGTCCCAGGGAAGCCATTGGCCATGCTGTGCTAAGCCCACAGCTTGGAACAGCTGAGAGTGCGACATGAAAGAGCTGAACCAAAAGTGGGCAATTTCAGATGTATCCTGTCACTACTCAGCTTGTGAGATGCAGTTAACCTGAAGCTACAGATCCAGACTTCAGCTGTAAATGTAGAGAAACACAGCAGCTGGCAGCTCAGCCTCCTGAGGCTCAGCCCTTCCTCTCTGTTGCTTGGTACTATTTTTGAATAACAGTGAAATAGCCTCTTTCTCCCCGTTTCTCTACTCTGCTCAAGATGCACCATTCTCCCTACTCTGAGTTTTGTTCCTGAACAGCTCAACCCCTTGCTGTTCATCATAGAAGAGCAGGAAACATGTACCTAGGGAGCAGGAACTAGATATGGCTTAATTAAAACAGTAAGTCTTAATTTATATGTAGCAGTTCTAATTCCCAACTCTACTGCCACAGGCATCCAGCCCTCAGGGCAGGAGGCATCTAGCTAGTATGTTTCTCTTTACCCTTAAAATGACTGGGTCAGCATTTCATGCTTGAATGTGAAATTCACTGTGATTCTGTTGAGAGCGCCATAAAAAGAGGTCAGAACAAATCAATCGCGTTAAGGCTGAAACCCAGACCAGCTTATAAGGGAATATTCAGTAGCAGGCACCAGCCTGTTTTGAGCCAACGTCACACAAAGCAGATATCTGGGTTAGCCACTCATTACAGGCCCTGGGCCAACAGAAGCACATTGCTGCTTCACATCACCCCGAAAGATGCTGTTCCAGGGCAGAAATGCTGCTGGCAGCCATCCTCTGCCCCATCAGTGCTTTAGGTCCCTAACACACACTGGAACAAATGCAGTTTTACTGAGAACGAAGAGCAGGTCTTCTCAGAAAGATTCCCATTCTTTTTCCAGGAAAAAGCCTTCTTGCCTTTGCAGTCTGTCTACTGAGACACCACGTTTGTGTGGTGATGACAGAGCACCTGCACTGTCGCTCCCTGCGTGCTGGAGCAATCAATCATCCCCCCCCTTGTGCCATCCCCTCCTCTCATGCCCCTTGCCAAGCCCATCCAGCACAGTCCTTTCACAGGCATACTGCCACTCCAAGGCACAAGAGCCCTCGAGCCCTGTGCAGCTCGCTGGGCCTTTGTGGGAGTGAAGGGGGCCCTGCCCTCCATGGGACCCACTCCAGCCTGTGCCTGGGAATCGCAGCTCTCGGCCCAGCCAAGAGGCTGCACAGCAACTGTTTAGCAGTAGGTAAGCATAACAGGAAGGGAAGAATGCCACCATCCCCAGCTGGTACTTCAGCGAGACACTCAGGACTGGAAGCTAACGTGGCACCCAGCCAGGACAGCAGCATTAATAACTACTTGTTGTACAGAGCCCTGGTGCAGCCCAGGCACCCGTGACAGCCAGGCCCTGGGGGATTCACCTCCACTAGGAAAAGGCACGGTGCAGCCCAGGGTGGACCTTGGAGGGAAAAGCACTTTTGCCAAGTCACTCACATTCCTCTACAAATGTTGCGGGTTTTGCTGAAGAACATATATGTAAATAAACATCTGGACACACATCTCCATTGCTTGGCAAGCAAAAGACTCAGAGGTGGGTGTCAGGGAAAGTTTTTACTAAGAGGGAGCTAGGATTTGGTCTCCTCCCTTCTTGGGGCAGTTTGTGCATTGGTGGCTGCCAACCTCAGCATCCTCGGGAACAGAGACTCCCTGAGGACTGACACAGTTCTGTGCCACAGAAACACCCTTTGAAGCCTATTGGTACTGATAATTCCAGGAGAGCTTGTCGGGAAGCTTTTCCGCACCCCCACTGCAGAGAAATTCAAACCCTGAAACAGATGGGGGCAAGGAAGCGCTGGAAGGAGGAACACCACAGAAACAGGATGGCACACAGGGAGCAGGGTGCTACACAAAGCTGCTTTTCTAAGACAAAAACCATAGACACAACAAAGCTGGGGAAAACATGGCCATGGAAGGGAGAGTAGACAGAAGGAGTACCACCTAGGGAGAACACACTGCACACTACCCAGAGCTGAGGATCCAGAGGGTATTTGCACTGTGTGGACACTGAGCCAAGACTAGTCCCTGGAGAATGGTCCTCTGCCCTCATTTCACTCCACAATTCCCTATGAGCACGGCAGAACTTTGCAGACCCCAACACACTTGGTTCTGCCCAGGAGTAGCTGGGCAGCTGCGCCACCTGGAATGGGGAGAGCATTCCCTGCAGCCCCTCCTGCACAGGAAAATGGCATTAGATTAACCAGGAGTGCCCCCACACCCTCTCCCTCCTCCCAGTACTCCAAATCTCATCCTTGCAGCTGCTCAGGTTAAGGCCATTTGGAGATCTTTGTGAAGTCACCCTGCTCTCTGCAGTTTTCCATATCTGGTTCACACACAGCCTGGAATGAGGAACTAAAAAGGAGGCAAGGAGCAGGAAATGCCATCTAAGGACTACATGCCTTCATTTGGTATGAGCTGCACTGCCCTTCTCAGAGGCACTTAACAGGGCTCTGATTGCCTCTCCATCTTTCCAGGCCCAGCTTTGAAGGGAGCTCATACAGACAGAAGAGGAAAGAAGGACCGTTTCCAGTCTAACTGCACCAAGCTGTGGAGCAGCAACACGACTGGCACAGCCCAAAGCCCCCTTCTCCCCTTCCAGCTTGTGAGGTTAGGAAATGAGCGGGACTGACCTGTGAGCTCAGGGAGGACGGGGGCACTCGGGAGAGGGGTCCGCTCTACACGGAACTCTAAAAACGAAATGCAAGACAGCTTAGGAACTCGTCAACACCCTGAGGGAGAACCCACAGAGAGACGGCAGCAGGGTCTGCTGAGGGAGCAGCCTGCAGCCAGACTGTGACCAAACCAGTGTCTTCTTTAAACCAATCTATAGCTGGTGCTGAAAGGTGCTGGACTCCTGCCCTGGGGAGTGAAATGATCCATTTATCCTTAGAATAAATCTCATCAAGGCAGGAGAAGTGTGTGGCCTCAGGTCAGCCCTGGAGCACTGCACCATGACCCATCCAATCTGACCTCTTGCTGCAGTGCCAAAGGGTGCTCAGTACACGCCACATCTGGGCACAAGTTTACAATGAGGTGCTCAAAGCCAATAAGACTGAGACCATAAAGTGGGTTCATAGAGAGCTTCCAGACAGCTAGGAGGCAACAGCAACTTTCAGCCAGCCTGGGCTCACCTCAGACAAAGAGGAACAGCCCCTAACATGAAGACTGCATATATAAACCATCACACTGAGGAATGGAGAAAGGAAGGGATGCTCAGAGTTGCCAATTCTCTAGAAAATAGCAAGGCAGTTCTTTCTCACAGTGTGCTCTGCCTCATTCCCTTGCCTCGCAGGGAACAGGAGGGAGAAGAGGCCGCAGAAAGCTCTAAGCAGCTGCAGCACAGCAGGTTCCAGCCATTGATCGCAGAGGCCATGTTCTGAGCACATGGTGGGGCTGGGAACTTGAAACCACCCAGTTTGTGGGGGATCTGCCCCAGCAGATGTTTTCTGGAGGCTGAGAGTGGTCCAGGCACTATTCAGAACACAACCGTAGCATGGCAGGAGCCAGGTATTTCAGGTGCCTAGGAGTTCCCTGGCCCATGGAAAGCCACATTTTAAAATCTTCTGCTACTTTCAGAGCAGTGACAACTCTGGTAAAGAGAGACAGACACACACAAAGGCAGCAAGACAGGCAGAGCTGCAGGGGCCCTTCTGTGTCACAGCAGCAGCCCTACACAGGAGGCTAAACATAAAGGGCATCAGAGCAGCCTTGGGCTTTTCCTGCCACTGGAGTGTGAGGATAATCCTAATGAAGGACAGGCTGTTCCCACCTATTGCAGGGCTTTACCCCTCCCCCTTCCACATCCGTCTCCAATTTAAAGAAAGACCAAACAGGGGAAAGGGTGAAAGGGGGAGAGCCTGGGTCACAGATCATGCCAGGGACTCCAGTCACCTGAAGGCAGACCAAGAAAAAAAAAACAAAAAACAAGCAGGGAGCAGCACTTACCAGGGAACTGGTAAGTGTAGCCAGGTGCAATGCCAGTGTAACTCCGACTTGCGTAGGTGGCAGCTTGGAAGCCTGGATAACCTGGAGGAAGAGAAAAGGGCTGTTACTGCAAGCTCACAGGATCCTTGTTCTTAGTGCCTGGCTGCTCATGAGCAGCATGACCATTAGTGTTGGTGACCACGAGTAGAGCCAATAGCAGAAACCCCAGGAAATAGCTGGGCAGAGACTGCACACACGCAGGTCTGCAGAAGAGTTTTAGCAGGCCCATTTAATTTCTTCCTCACTCCAAACGTGTAAGGACATGGAGGTTTCTTTCTCAGAAACTCATAGCTCTGCAGACTAAGGTTTTCTGATGCATCAGCTGGATTACAAATAGGAGATCAGGGAGGTGGGGGCATTTGAACGGCTGAATGGCTCTGAGTCACTTTTGAACTAGAAGTGCTGGTGAATGCAGGCAGAGCGCTTCTTCCTGGCGCCAGGCAGGAGGACAATTCCTGTCATTCCCTGGGAAGCTGACCACCTCTACAGAACAAGCCTGTGAGAACACAAGACATTGACTCAGAAATGAATATTTGATTTGAGATCTCTCAAGACATGAGTATTTGGATTTCCCAGTGACTCAGCTTGAGCCTTGCTGCTTTAAAATTCAGATGGCTTAAAAAAGGCAAAACCTAAAACCGCAGGCTGGAGATTTACTTCCCTTCAATAAGACAAGGGAAAACACTGGGAGAAAAATGCCCTTTTTGAGGTTTTGTTCAGTGACTAACTGCTACTCAGCAGGCTTAGAAAGAAAAGCCAGGCTGAGTACACCCTGCCCAGCAATACCAGGGATGATGATAAGCAAACAGTGTGCTCCTGGTTCAGGTCAGGCCTAGCAACCATGAACAGAGGGAAAGATGACAGGAACAACACCCACACTGGAAAGATCATGCTTGACACTCAGATCCAGGCACAAGGGTTTATAGAACTAGAAGTGGAGGCTACAAAGGACATTTTTCTAATCTTTTATCTGAGCATATTTGCTTTAGAAACACTGATAGGCATCAAACTCAGCCTGCTCGTCACCAATTTCTCCTTACAAGACAGTCCCACAGTACATGTATGGTTTTCCTTACAATACTTGATCCTCACTGTCCCTCAGAGGTAGGGAACAAAGCAAGACAAAGCTTACCTAGAACTTTAAGGACATTTTAATAGTCTTCAAATGGCAGTGAGCACATTTATATGGACCACTGTGGAAGTTCGGGGGCTCTTTAATTAACTAATTCATCAGAAAGCCTGTAGAAGTGTGGGAGGGAGATGTCTGGGCACAGATTACTCCACACTCGATTCAGCTATGTAGTTACACCCAATTCCACGTGAGTTATTAACAAATTAGTCTTTATGCGGGTTAAGTGAATTGCAGAAGGGCAGAGCTGCCCAGCACACGGCTGTGCCCGCCCAGATGTGGCAGGGCAGCAGCGACAAGTTTGTAGTTTTTCCAGGTGCCACCAGAGGGCAAGTTGTGATCGCAAACACGTTCCGGCAACCCCTCAGCGTCCCCAGCTTTGCACCAGGGAGAGCTGCCCTTGGCCGCCCTGCTTGCTTGGAATAAAACCTCTAAGCTGCTGCCTGGCACGACCGGGAGCTGGGGAGGAGATCTGTCCTTGGGCTTACCCAGCATGCCGATCCCCAGCATGAAGGCATCCATCCCGTAAGGCATGACTCGGGACCGCCCTCGTGCCGAGCCCGTTGGGGACATCACCTCCTTCGGCTGGGCTTTTTTACACTCCACCTGCCACAAGAAAGTCAGGATCAGGTTCAACCACCACCGGCACAGTGTGCTGCTGCAGAGCACAGCCAGCAGTGGGCTGCAGGCCAGGCAGGGCTGCCCACCACCACACCATTCGCCAGCACCCCTGCCTCTGGCCTTGCATGCTGCCAGCCTTCCCCCTCACTTTGCAGACACCACAGGCAAGGGGGAGCTCAAACACTGTTTTTCTCCACCTGAAGCTGCCCTCGATGCTCTGCATGGCCCTGCACCAGGGCCTCAAAGCCTCATTTTCCTCATTTCTGAATAAAGGTAAAATCTGACCCCTTCCCAGGACACCAGAAGGTTTCATGTACTCCACAACTCCTTCTCCTTGAAAGCTCACCATTGTGCTGGTTCACCTGCACACTGCAAGTTTGTTTCCCAGACTGGCTGCTGTGATTCTGAGGAAAAGACTCAATTGAATTCCCCACCACAGAGAGAGTGCATAAGGACCTAAGGACCCTGCACCCTGCCCCTGTACCATTGCCTCCTTCTCCATCCCACGTCTCTGTGCCTTCTCCCTCAAAGTTTTGCCCCAGACACTCACCATTTTGTTGTTGATCTCATGGAAGTGGATTTCACACACTTTTTCGACAATGTCTTCACTTTCAAATGTGACAAACCCAAAACCTGAAGAAAAGGCAAAACTCCTTGATCAGGTCAGAGCTCTGCACAGTTTCCACCCACTATCCACATCCTTTTATTCGCATGAGGAGTCACAAGCCTGTAGGACAGTATAACCAGCCCTTCCTAAAACAGCTGTCACTCATCTTTCCTCTCCAGCAAATCCAGCTTTTATGCACAAGAAGAGGAGCATCCCCTCATAGATTCCCTTTTCCTCCTCATCCTATACCATCCACACCCTCTGAACCCAACTGCTCTCAAAACCAAGAACATTTTTTTAAACTTTGCTATTTGCAAGGCAAACCACATGGCTGATAATGCTGGGGAGGATCCCAGCAGACAGGCGCTCACACAAAGAGTCAGAGGAGAAATGAACAGCTGAATGCCAGGACTTCCCCATCCTTGCTGAACAGACCCCACCAGCAATAACACCTTGCACGTTTCCTCCTCAGTCACCCCTCATAAAGGCTTGCACAAGCTGGCAAATACCAGCAATGCAGCTGTACAGAGCAAGACAGACACAAGCAAAGCAATTTGCAGCTTCCCCAAAGCAAGGTTAGTATCTGGGGTAAGACAGGACAGCATGTTCCTGGCCCCTGGCCCACACTTACACCTCCTTTCTCTCACCAACCCCTTTGCTGACAGTTCTGGCAAAGACCAGCTTGGGTGGGCAGACTTAAACTCCTCTCAGCTGACTGCAGCCGTTTCCGGAAAACCAAGGCAGGTGGGAGGATGTCTTTAAGCTTACCTTACAAGCAAGCTGGGATTAAGCAGAACTTTCCGCTTTCCAGAACTGGCTAATTCCATGGTGCTTTAAATTAACTTTTAAAAACAGATGGGAATCTGCTGCCCAGAACCACAGTTCTCCATACTACCAGAAAAGTCTCTCCATAAACTCCTCTGTCTGCCTGTGCCCAGGTAGTTTCACACCATTTGCCTCAACACGCACAAGCAGAGGAGCTTGGTAATTCAAGAGCAAAACACTGATACTGAAACCAGTCCTGAGCCCCCTCAGAGCCGCACTAGGCCTGCTGTACCCTGGGCAGAGTCCCACACTGCCACACAGCACCTGGCAGCTCTCCCTGCTCCTTCTGAAACACCCAACAACTCTTTAATGGACTGGGAGGCACTCATGAAGGAACAGGGGTTAATGCTTCTTCAAAGATTAAGCTGAAGCAACATCCTAGATCAGGCAACCAGAATATATTCAATGGCTTTACAGAACAGCAAAAACCTGAAGGGCACACAGTGTACTGAGAGCAGAAGGGAGCGTTCCCTCACTGCTCCATGGGCAGAGGTGCTTGGAAGTGCTTCAAACACCACAGGGACATGAGGGTGGCCCAGAAGAGGCCTGTTACTGGCCCTGATTTGGAAGCCACCAAAGCCAAGTTTGCAGGTTAAGTTGTTGCCAGTACATCTCCGAGCTGGTGCAGTGCTGGTGTTGAGCCCTGCCACACTCCAGGGCAGTCAGTTTGAAGACTTCCTGGGAAAGCAGGAGGCAGGGACAGGCTGGGTCCAGGCAGCACAAATATTACAGCCTTGCTCCCATCCTGTAACTGGACTCCACCAGCAAGACTCAGGTAAGAAAAGGTGACCCGGGAGCACAAGCGGGCTCTGGGCCGAGGAAGGGGTGAGAGGCAGGCACTCTTCAGCCTCTCTCTCGTGTCAGCTTTCCCAGAGCTCAGATTACTCAGGACAAGGTAAGACATACTGCGGGCTGGAGCCAGGGAGGTAAGTGGGCAGGGGAGGGGGCTGCCTCCTCTCACATATCTGCAACTCGGCGAGTTTACAGCACAGGAAACGCACTGGACAAAAGCCCTCTGTGCTGAAAGGGACGCTGGTAGAGGATGCAGACGCAAAAGGATGGGGTGACTGGAGGCAAGATAAAGAGCAGCTGCGACCTGCATGCCCTGCTGCTGGGATACTGACCCCTCCCCAGGCAAAGCAAGAGGCAGACCCTCCACAGCTCCCTCACCTCGGTGTCGGTTGGTTGTCTTGTCAAACATCAGCATCGCATCGTCCACCTGCAAAGAGAAGAGCTCCAGATCACATTATTGCCCTCACCACCAGCATCCTCCAACACATTTGCACAGAGGTTCCCAGACCTCCCCAAACCACAAGGGCCCAGGACAAGACCTCCCATCCCTATGAAGGAAATACGGTGTGCACACACACACACACACATCAGCTACTGCACCAGGAACATCCCCAGGCCACAACCAGCACGGTCTCCCCACCAGCCCAGGGCAGGTGCTGCTGAGCTGAGCCCCCTCAGCCCGGCCCCTGGCTGCAAGCGACCCTGATTGTTTGCCTGCAGCTCCAGCCGAGGGGCAAGGAGCAGGGAAGGCATTGTTCCCAAATCCTAGCCTCAAAAGGAGAGGAGAATTAAAGGGGGGGAGAGAAGCAAAGCTGGAGAGGGGAGAGGAATAAGGGGCCTCCCAGGGACAGGGGAAGTGGAGGCCTCAGACAACAGAGCCTGCCTGGGAAAGCTGGGAAGCACCCCCGCCCCCACCCCAGAGGAGCCTTTCCTCTAAGTGAGGTTTCCCACTGCTGGAGGCTGTAATTAGAGCAAATTTACTGCAAGGCCTGAGCAGGGCTGCCTTCCCGGGGGGAGGGGCGGGCGGGTCCCATCCCCCAGCCGGCCTGGGGCTGCTCTCCTCCCAGAGCACATCACCGCCTGGTGCCACTTTTCGCCCCCATCTTCCCGCCGGGTGTTGCCTCACAGACGCATCTGCAGCCTCTGCAGCTCAGGCCGAGCAGGGTTAAAAAATACACTTCAATCCCCTCCATGTAAGCCCTGGTGTAAACCTGTCCCACTGACCCATCCCTCCTCTCTAATACCACTGCTTTAATCCGATTATGAAAACTGGACATGCAAGTGCTCAGGGGAGGCGGTGGCAGGCTCCGGCCAGCCGCTGCCGCAGCCCTCCTCCTCCATGTGAGACCACTGCTTCCCAAGCAGCAAGCCCCACATGCCCCTGACTCTTGTGGAAGGATTACTCCTTTGCCTTGTTCCCAGGAAGCATCTGCATTGCTGCCTTCTCCAGAACAGCTTGCTGGTGAGGGCAGAGCACTTCCCCTACCCCAGCACAGGTAGCCACTGGCTTTGCTCATGGAAAGCCAACAGCACTGGCTAGGGAAGGGAAACGGCTCCTAGCCTCAGACCCCCAGGGCAAAACGGGATACCTGGCTCCACCTCAGTGCCATGAGGATGGAAGGAGCCCTTCCTGATATTTCTGGTGCCACCACAAGCAGACAGAGATCATCTCTGATGCCCTTGGGCTCGTCTAGCTTGTCCACCCCGCAAGAGCCAGGTGATGATGTGGCTCCTGCTCAAATCATGCTCTTCCCATTCCAGCTCAGCCAAGTCAACAAACCTGAGAAACGTGCCAGGCATCCAGTGGGAGCCACGGGGGACACAAGACTTCACACAGACCTGAAGCAACTCCTCAGCTGCTTCCCAAGGCACATCCAGGGAGCTGGGCACTGACGGCAACTCACAGAGCTGCCATTCCCCACCACTGCTGAGTCCTGCCCTTGCACCATTTCCCTTCATGGTGCCAGCACAACTGTGATAACCTGACACGGCTTAAAAACATTTCAAGAGGGTTTACTGTCTGGTTTTGTTCATTTTTTAAGCAAGAACAGTTCATCCAGTCTGCAGAAAGCCTCAGCATGTAACTGTCCTCCTCCCCAGTAAACACTGTGGTGCCACTCCCAAAGGCTCAGGTAGCTGGAGCCCACAAACCCATGGCAATGAGAGAGGCGCATGAGAAAGAAAAACCCAGCAGGGACTAGCCCAGCCCAGCTGTCCAGCCAGCCAGCTCTGCCCAAACAGCCCCAGCAACAACCTCCTCTTCCCAGACCCTGGGCAGCCACAAACAGCAGAGCCCAGTGCACATCCACACACAAAATCACCTCACAGCAACATCCTGGGCAATGGCCGAATGCTCCCTTGGCACCTTGGGAGACATGCAACCACTTCATCCCAAACCACACTCTGTACACTGAGAGGAGAGCTGCAGCCTTCCTCCATCTGAGCCTTTTTCTAAGTCTCTGCTGGTGTTTTGAGATCAGGTCTCTACCCAGCACCCCAAAATGTACTCATACTGAAAAAACATATTGACAATAACACACGTACTCTATTGGAAAGTTATTTCTTGCCATGGACTGAGTGTAAGATAGATAGATATCTATGTGTATATGCACATAATTATTCTCACTCCACTCAACTCTAGGGCTTGAACTCTGTGCATGGCTACAACTGTTGTTTTTTATTGCCACCAAAACCTATAACATGAGCATCTTTGAATTTTTTCCCAAGGCAACAGGTGAGATGAGTTGGGTGGTCTCAAACAGCACCCAGCCAGTGCTGTGAGATAAAGCAGGGCCCCACAACACCAAAGGGGTGCCAAGGTAGTGGTAGAGCCTACAAAGGCCTGCGGGATGGGCTGAGGACTGGAGCACATCACAGAGCCAGGAGAAAGGCTTCCCCTACATCCACAGGGAATGGCCATTTCCAGCACCTTGCCCAGGCCATCCGGCTCCAAGCCAGATCCCTCTTGCCATCACCTCCCTTGGTCTGGAGCTAGGGTAGGTGACTGAGAACCAGCTGCCTCATCACTCCCCAAGGCCCAGCACCACCCAAACACCCTCACAGGAAGAAGCACCGAGGGGATGGAATTACCACCGCCAACTCCCACCAAAAGCCGGACCCCCAGACAAGGTGCAACCGTCAGTGACAGCCCCCCTGACAGGCAGCTATTGTGGCGGGGAAGCGACAAAACATCTCCCCCCTCCTCCCCACCACACCCCACCCCGCTCAGGGCCCTTCCCGGCTGGGCCGCGCCGGGCCCCAACAAAGGCGCCCGCCGGCGGGGCCGC